TAACAACAGGGCGCCTGGGGGGCCCAGTCGGTTAAGCATCCGACTTCAGCTTCGGTCATGATCTCATGGTTCGTGGGTTCGAGCCCCGCGTTGGGCTCTGTGCCGACAGCTTGGAGCCTGGAGCCTGCTTCGGATTCTGTGTCTCCCGCTCTCTCTGCCCCTCTCCCGCTCACACTGTGTCTCTGTCAAAAATAAGCGTTAAAAAAAAAGTAGTGACCACAAACATCAAAGCAGTTTTTAATTAAGTGTATTTAACGCAGGAACCCTAAAATGTCAGTATAATAATTAGCCCATTATTTTGGTTTTCGCCGTACCGCAAAGCAGCACAAAGCCTCGTACCCAGGACAACCGATTTCGGATCTTCACAGGTCTGCAGCCTGGCCCGGGTTCAGCTGCGTGCTTCCTCCGCGGCTCTCCCCAGTGGTCCCCCGTGGGCTTGCATTCAGCTGGCATGTCAGCTGGAGCCTGCCCGTGTGCTCTCGGGGCTTTTCCCCCTCCGTGCGGTCTCTCCACGCGCTCACTCAGAGGGGTGACTGGCTGCTTACGTGGCCGCTCAGGGTTCCCAGGAGTACAACCCATTTTGCAGACAAGGAAGCCCAAAGAGAAGAAGGTTGAGTCATTTGTCCAAGGCGGAGCTAAGATGTGAAACAAGTCTAGCTCCAAAGGCCAGACTGTACTCTTGTACCGTAACGCGCATACAGACCCTGACAGACCTAATACAGGAGTGGTTCAGGGAGCCATGAGAGTAACAGGGACAACGGTGTTTGGCGCCAGGATTCAGTGGGTGGGAAGGGATCAAGGAAATGGCATTGAGCCTGAAAACCTGGTTTCTACGTGGTCTGGGGACTGAGAGCTTTCAGGGTTTAGGGGGTTGAGCGAAGGCCCTGTGGTGGTGGAAAGCCCTGCTTGTCAGAGAAACTAAATGGTGCCTGGTAAGGCCAAGAACAAGGGTTAGGGAAAGCGGAGGGAGTCCCTCAAGGCTTGGATGTGCCCTGTGAGGGTTTTTGGTTTGGTTTTTTAAATTTATTTATTTTGAGAGAGAGAGAGAGGGCGGGAGGGAGAGAGAAAGGAAAGAGCATGCTCATTTGCTTTTGTGCACGGGGGAAGGGCAGGGAGAGAGGCATAAAGAATTCCGGGCCGGTTCTTCTGACAGTGCTGAGCCCAACACCAGACTCCGTCTCAGGAACCATAAGATCATGACCTGAGCCGAAATCAAGAATAGGACGCTTAACTCACTGAGCCACCCAGGGACCCCTGTTTTTGTTTTTAAGGTTTTATTTTACTTTGTTTTTTTAATCTTTATTCATTCTTGAGAGAAAGAGAGTGCAAGTTGGGGGAGGGAGGCAGAGGGAGAGGGAGACAGAGAACCCAAAGCAGGCTCCAGGCTCTGAGCTCTCAGCACAGAGCCCAATGCAGGGCTCAAGTCACAAACCGTGAGATCATGACCTGAGCCGAAGTCAGATGCTTAACCAACTGAGCCACCCAGGTACCCCTAAGATGTTATTTTTAAGTAATTTCTGTATTCAACGTGGACCTTGAACTCACAACCCTGAGATGAAGAATCCACTCTACTGGGGCACCTGGGTGGCTCAGTCAGTTAAGCACCAGACTTCGGCTCAGGTCATGACCTCATGGTTCTTGGGTTCGAGCCCTGCATCGGCTGTGTGCTGACAGCTTGGAGCCTGCAGCCTGCTTCAGATTCTGTGTCTCCCTCTCTCTCTGCCCCTTCTTGGCTCGCTCGCTCTCTCCCTCAAAAATAAATATACATTAAAAAAAAAAAAAGTCTGAGCCAGCCAAGTGTTTTCTGTTTTTGTTTTCTCATTTATTATTTTAAAATAATTATACATCCACGGAAATTTGCAGAATTAGTCCAGAGAGGTCCCTGGTACCTTTCTCTCTGCTTCCCCCAATGGTTATATTTTGTGTATCTATAACGTAGTATCAAAACCAGAACAGTGATGTCACATAGCGGTGTGTTGAAGTCTGAGCCGGATGATGCATAGACTTAAATACTCACCACCCCAGTCAACATACAAGGCAGCTACCCTCCAGTTACCCCTGACAGACACCCCCCCCCCGCCACCCACTGCCACCCCTCACCCCTGGGTACCACAAATCTGCGGCCCATCTCTGTAATCCCCTGAGAATGCTCTGCAGATGCAACCATACAGCACCAACTTTTGGAGATCTGGTGATCCCACTCAGCACAATACTCCAGAGATGCCTTCAAATTCTCACACGGATCAGGAGTTCTTTCCTTTTTGCCTGAGTCGTGTTCCATGCTGTGCATGTAGCGGACGATCTCCCTATTTTAAAGCCCCTAATCTCAATCCCCTATATGCATGGTTTCCAAAGATGGAAGTGTGACCATCTTTGGGGCCCGTCTGTCCCATGCAGGGGACCAAGGAGGCGCGGAGGGCATGACCGAAACACTGGACGTACCACGCCTGCCCTACACTCCACGGGCCCAAACGTACCCACGCAGCTACATGCTGCTGCAGGCAGGCTGGGAAAGTTGTCTTTACTCTAGGAGTCACTTGCGCAGTCATAAGTGAGGCTCCCCTACTTGGAGGAGAAGGGACATCGGGGGACAACTAGCAAATCTTGCCAGCAGAACCTGTCCACGCCTTACCCCATGGGTGGTTGAGAGAGCCCTGGCCTGTGAGTGTTTTACGTGGTGCCTGGCACCCCACACCTAGGGTCCTGGCAAGCACAGAAGGGTTCATTTCAAGGAGGCAGGTGCTGTGGGGTGGACAGGAGACCTAAGTATTTGGGTCATGCTCCTGGGGCACGTCGCCTGTGTCTCCGTTTACCCATTGTGAGTAGGGGAGACCGCATTATCTCCCCTAATATCCACTGCCTTTCCCTGTGGTCACGGTGGTAGGGAAGGGGGGCTTTGTCTGTTCCCCACCCAGCCTGGGGGAGAAGCAGGAACCTTCCTTCCAGTGTCTGTGGTGCATGGAGCCTCGGCTGGGGTCCAGAAGAAATGATGATCGGGTGACAGAGTAAGTAGGTGATTCAGTGGGCAGATGCCTCCCTGCAGGGCTGCCCCGTGGACCGGGCCAGGAAGCCCTCCGTAGACCAGAGCAGAGTCTCTGTTCCTCAGGACGCTTACCCCCATAGCATGGAAAATCGGGGGAAGGCGGGTGCTGTGATTCTGGGGCACTGAGAATAAACCCCGAAGACAAGGGCACCCGCACGTCCTACGTCTCGGCCCCATCTCTCACCTGCGCTGTGTGTTTGATGGTGTGGCAGGCAGAACGCTAAGATGGTCCCCAGTGG